CAATAAGGCATATATTTGAAAGAAAAGAAAAGAAAAGAAAAGAAAAGAAAAGAAAAGAAAAGAAAAGAAGCAAGATTTGGGAGGGTTCCAGTTACCCCCACCGCCCCCCTGAAATCAAAGCCTCAGGGAGATGAGGGAGGCTGCCAGGTCGCACCACAAGGATTTAAAAGCAGCCGTGACATGGCCGGAACAGCAGGGGGGAGATTATTTCTCCAGCAGCGCTTTGAAGAGGTTAAACCTTGCTGCTGCGTGAGGTCCACGCACCATCATTCTGCCTGTGCAGTGGTTGCGCTGATCCGTTGCATCCATGCCATCTCCGGCAGATAAATTGAATGACTAGAGGCTCTGTGTGCTCTGTGTGTTAATTTACGTCCGCCTGTAATGGCAATAATTACCCAGCCAACCCATTCATTTGTCTAAATTTGCTCGGACGTAGAGGGAGTTGCCCACATGCAGCTTCTTCATCGAAAGTGACAAGCGCGCGGCTCTAATCAGAGCTCTCGCCGCTCTCGGGAACATGGCGCACGTCTCGCTGGTCCTTTCGTGCTTGCGAATTCGCTACTGGTGGGAAGGGAGCTGGATTGACCGTTAGGGTTGCCCCTAACCCCGTCCACACACAAAACCCTATCACTCACGTGCAGTGATGCTATTCACTCAAGCTGTCTGGCCTGAGAGGGATGTATAGGCCAAAACCTGAGTGAGCGCAATTCATCAGCAGTTAACACGACCGCTCTGTAGTGTGGACACAAGGCAGCAGCATTCAAGTGCAGCTAGTCCTCCAACGTTTTCCCACAATTCCCCCTGTGCGTCCGGAAAGATTCTCCCACAATTCATTGGGAAAAAATTCATAGAGTAGCTCAGCTTCCTGCGGTGCTAAGGATCCCGGGATGTGTCCCCAGAAGTCCTAGCACCAGTGCCAGTGTGGACACAGCAACTTGAGGGTTATTTCACCATGTGGCAGTTCTCACCCGAGCTCGGCTCACACAAGAGGAATCACTCGAGTGTAGATCACTCGAGCTAACTCTGCAGTGAAAAATGACTCAGAAACGGCGTCTATTAAAACTCGAGTGAGCACAACTCATCAGCTGCCAATACGGTCACTCTAATGTGGACACATGCTAGTGCTCGAACACACACATACTCACGCCTGGTTTTTTTCAACACCCACAACCGGGTTCAGCTTTTTAGAAGAATCCAGCTTTTGAGTTGGCTGGGAAACGACCCTCCCCCCCACCCCGGTGAAAATTTTAGACCAAAAATAACAAAAAGTCTCTTTTCGTTGAAAATGTTCTGCCCTGAAATGTTAGGGTTGTGACCGTACTTTCCCCCGTTTTCAACGAAAACCAAAATATTTTCGCTAAAAAAGAATGCACAAAAATGCGGCCTTTAAAAAAAATCTGTTTATTTTTGACGAAAATCCAAATCTTTTTGTCAACAACTATCGTTTTTGGGTAAAAAATTTTGTTTTGGATTAAAACCCCCGTTTTTCGATGAGTTTTTCATGGAAAAAAATGCGAGGAGCAGAATTGGTTGCATTTTTTTCCCCACTTTTAAAGGCTTTTACTGAAACAAAAAAACCAAGCAACCAGTTCTGCTCGGCATCCGTCTAGGCACCGGAAGAAAAAAGTCAGATTTGCAAAAGACTTCTGCACACAGCCGCTCCCGTGGTGACACCGATGGCCAAACTTCCAGAAGAGCCCAGCACCCAACAGGTATCCAAAGTGCTGCCCCCTTGTGCAAACCCTGCCACTTTTTTGGGTGCCTAAACTGGGAGCCGATGCTGACCCCCTGGAAATTTGGCCCTGAGTTCTTCCAAAATTCTAGCCCAACTACTGTGCCTCATTCCTAATTCAGCTGGATCCTCATGTCGTGTCCGAGTGTTTGTCTTGGATTGGATGTTAGCAGCTGGCCTGGAGGTGAAAGGCTCTGCTACTGATCCCCTACACCAATGCAGCCATCTCCCCCAGGCACCTATCACTCAATGTACAACACCTAATTTTATGAAAGACTCCCTGAGTGTGGCAAATCCATGCTCATTTCATGAAATCGGCTCCAGCAAGCTTTCCTCCTCATGTAAATACGCCCGTTGATATCATGGCGATTACATAGAGGAGCAGGGATTGTGTGTGGGTAGGGATCCTGGTTTCTATCATCCCCTCGATCCTATTTGCAATTTAGAGCTTTAGCTCAAGGTCAAGATATCCTCCTCTCCGGCCTCCTTCCATCCAGAACCAAGAACCAGATCATCGAGTCTGAGCGGCTGTGCAGCACAGGCCACGAAACATCGCCCCGCACCCACACACCAAACCCAACAACCAAAATATCACAGCCCACAAGAGACTAGCCTCGAATGAGCCACAGGCAGAGAACAGGAGGGACCGAGGTGCACCAGGGCCCGAGGGCCCTGATTGAGACAGACTCAGATAATCCTGCACCCACGCACTACAGAGGAGGTGAAAAAAACCCCAACAGCCCTGCCAATCTGGGGGAAAATTCCCTCCTGACCCCACAGATGGCAATCAGTTAGACCCTGAGCACGGGAGCAAGAACCAGCCAGCCAAGCACCGGAGAGAGAGAATTCCTCCCCCTCCAATGTCCCATCCCCTGCCGTGGCCCCCCCTCATCTGGTTTTGAGCCTTTAGAGTTCACTCACGCCATATTTTCCAGCTTTTCTCCACAGGCAGGGCTAGAAACTTACTTTTTTTTTTTTTAAGAAAGCTTACATTTTCATGTCATCCCATGACTCCAGCAGCTGGTGCTTTAAGAGCAACACCACACAGTGCAAGACTACGCTACAACCGCGAGAGCTGGCAACACTGGAGTTACAGAAGCGCCAGCCCCGAGCATTCCAAAATCATGAGTCGGGCCTAAGAAATCATGAGATTGGCTTTAAAATCAAGAGATTTTAAAGAAAGAAATAAAGTTGGGGTCCTTTCACTCGCCTCCTCATTTCTGAATCTTGAGCGGCCACATTTCCCAGCTTTTCTCTGCAATCTCCAGGGCTAGACACTTCCTTCTTTTTTTAAAAGAAAAGCTAAGATTCCCCCACCATCACATGCCTCCAGGAGCTGGGACTTTTAAGGGAGACACCAAACATGGCGAGCCTCGCCACTCTGGCGAACCTGTAGCGACTCCAGGGTTGGCGACCCTGGAGTTACAAACAGGGCCTCCGACTCTAGCCTCGTTGAGGGTGGGGAGAAGGGAAGGCCAGGTCTCACCTCGATGATGTCTGCGTTGGTCCGGCTCTCGTGCGGCTCGTTGTACTCGGTGTACTTAAGCAGCACTTTGTCCATGTCCGTGCTGGCGTACTGGAACAGCTTGTTTGAGTGGTTGAAGATGATCAGGGCGATCTCACAGTCGCACAGGACGCTCAGCTCGTAGGCTTTCTTCATCAAACCGAACTTCCGCTTGGTGAAGGTCACCTGCAGGGAGAAGGCAGGAGATTCAGAAACTCATAGATAGATCTTGCAGCGCAACCGGCTGCCTCACAAAGGCCGCCGAGCTCCATCC